ATTAATACAACAATGATAAAAAATCATAACAATACATATACAAATAAAAAAAGCCGAAATTATATCGAAAAGTGGCATATCTTTAAAGGGTGGAAGCACGGGTGTAAGGTTTGTGACGAATGCAATCATCATTCACACCTATATTGCAAAACCTGCAAAAAAGTAGCAGAGGGAATATATAAGCGATGTGAATGTGATAATTTTAAAAGAGAACCTCGAATAATTAAGTACAAGAAGTAATAAAAATAAATATTTTGGCAATACGTATATAATTATCATTATGCATAACTTATTTGTGATATGGGGCACAGGCCCAAAGTGCCATTTTTCATTTTTCTGGAGTACTGTACCTTAACCGGCGTATGTATCCCAAACCGGTTTAAAACTAACGTTCACAAAAATCGTCTTTAACTTGAATTTTTGCCTATGAAACCGTCGTTTGCGTTATAACAAAAAAATTCATTGCAAAATTTTGGTATATGTCACTTCAAAACTTTACTTTTAACCTTGACTCGCACCCAGGGCAAAAAATACCTACTTATTTGTTTAAAGTGTCTTTTCTGATACATCCGATTTAGAAGTGTATGTCAATTTTTTTTAGCCAATCGGATTATGGTATATTGTGAATCAAAAATGGTGATCTCGTGGGGTAAATCAAGAATGCGACGCGTTTTTCTTTATAAAAGAGAATATGAGATTTACCTTCCTTTTCATAATTAACTCTCTTTACAAATGACCTGGCATACATATTTTGATAAAATTATAGATTCCACAAAAATTGGATACATATATATAAACAAGATTATGAGAACCTTATATACGGTAAAGCAGTAGATGCACTTGCAAAAAGCCTTCGTGAGCTTATAAATAAAAGTTCGGATCCAACAAGAGTACAGAAAGCTAGTGATCTTTTAAAGGCGAGTATTTTCCCTACATAGAAATTGTCCTCTGCGATAATCTTTTAGATAATTGCAGTTGTCCACAACATAGGAAGTTCAACTTTTAGTCGTTCTTCTGAGATCTTTTAGATCGTATTGTGGTTGTGACATTCCGTAACTAGGAGGTGTGACGCTTTTAGCTGGTCCTCTGACAGATCTTTTAGATTGTTATGGTTCTCAACACTGACTACAATATCACGTAGAAAGTATTATTTACTAGTTCAAACTTATAATGTCTTTTTTCCCTTTTTTCATCGTCAGAACTATAACCAACGCAAAGAAGGGAACGCTATCGACAAACTATGGCTTACTGTTGAAAACAAGAAACCAATTCTTAAAGAAAGAAACGTGAACGAAGGAACAAATTGTATACAGTTGGTTTCTTGTAAAGGTATCCATATTAATAGTGTTGGGAATAAAAGAAATTACGAGAATGAAAATCCAGAGACACCAGAGGTCCCAGCGAAAAAAGTCTGTATATTTGAAATTCGAAAAAATTTGTACTAAATTTGATTGGATAAGCCAACTGAGGTTAATAATGGTCATGTAAATTGTATTAGATATCGGTTGGCAACGACGGTTCCTTCTCGGAAAATAATAAACATGAAAAGCATCACGAGGAAGATGAAGAAATAATTTCATCAGAGGTTTAGATATCTTCCTTATTTTATGCATATCTCCTTGATTAATAAGATTTATCACTAAACTAATTCTTTTCTTATAGAGTCCGATCGTTAAGAAACTTATAAGTATTAGCGGAATTGCACGATATAGAATTGTCTTCTTGGCCGAGGAAAATAATAGTAGCCCGATTAAATTAGCTTTTAAAGAGGAGGAATGGTTAAAACTTGAAATGGAATGGCAAAACGTTCGTGGTCTTCTGTATATTTACTAAAATGATTTCGACAATGAACTTATACTAATTCTTTCTAGATTGAGGAGATGGTTGTACCTGTAAGTAATGGAATGGATACAGATCAGGAGAATTTATTAAAAAAATATGATGATGCGATCAAAAAGGCTACAATTGGATACAGCGTCAACTTGAGCGAAATCGTCGGCGTCTTCAACGAGTGTACGCTTATCAATCGGAATTACTATGTGTTTTATAAGGAGTGGCCGTTACAATGGATACAATCCATTTACAATGCATTGTAGGTAATGCTTTCTGTTCTGATACTTGAATTGATGATATTGACTTTTGTTTTATTCCATAGTTCACTGTGCTTCAGTCTCGCAATTAATCCACTCCATGACAGCGATTTATCAGAATACGCATATAGGGATAAAATCGTAAATCCTCTAATAGAAAATGTTTTTCTGGAAATAAATGAAGTGATTCGTATGAAAACGTGAGTCTTAGAAAATTATTTCAAATCATGATTGATTATACAACCTAAATGCGATCCACTTATCACTGACAGAGGCGAGGTCGAAAATTTAGACCGCAAAGTTCAGAAGGATTCAAATAGATTACCAGGGGTACGTCGTGCCACTGGTTGGGAGCACGATGCTTTATTAATAATGAAAGTGAAGAGCATCGAATATCAAATAGGATTTGGTGAGGTTGTAGGAAACGCTTGCGAACATGATGACGCAAAAATGGAGCGAGATAGAGAAAAAATTCTTAAGTGTAAGTAGAGGCTTTTCTTTATTTTATTTTATTTTCTCTGGCTAAGTATGGTAATTCTAGTACGTCTTAATTTCAACAGCAAAGCGAGAACATGGAGTGGATGAAAATGATTTTAACAATGCCGAAACATTAGGGATTCTTGTGTATAGTAAGTAACAATCAATTGTATATTCTATTTTTTATTAAATCGCCAAAAACCTAATATTTCTTTATTTCTTTCATAGAAAACAATTTTTATTTTTACTCAATGCACTATTCTGGTGGTTTATATCTGACAGACAAATTCGATGAATTTGCGATACCCACTAGCGCCAGTCAATTGTGTGAATTGTCAGAAATCATAAGATCAATGGTTTATTTTAAAGTAATAACTAGAATCGTGATATTCTTGTAAATATTAAATAATATTTTTTTCTGACCTTTTTTTTCATCGCCAGCATCGTGTTGTAAATCTTCACCGCAACGTGCAAAATTTGTTCAATGGGAAACGGCAATTCAGACAGAAATCTCGACATTGTAGTAAAATTGCAACCAACAAATCTCCTTAAAGCAAATTAATATTCGTTGTATTTTCATTATTGAGTACATTGCACTGTACAACGAAGTTAGATAGCAAGATATAATAAAGTTTTTCCACACACCGGTTTTGTGATTTTTAACGTGTATGCTGTATAAATAAATATATATATATGGTCGCTTTGTATAAGTGAAGGGAACTTAAATCGAAAAAAAGTAATTTAAATGGCTAGACAACAGGTAAATTTACCGATAATCCAATTCAGTATGTTGTAGCATATTTGATTATAAGAATATTTGAACGTAAAACACATGAGCCTCGAGAGAGCAATGTCATATGAATTAAATCTGCGAATAACAGATCAGTATAATACTATAATATAAAAAATGGCGAGGCCACAGGACCCCCCTCTTTATTTCAAAAAATATATATTGCTGGAACAACAATATACAAATAAAAAATAATTTTATGGCACTAGCTCCGCTAATATAATAAAAAATACAAATAAAAAAATTAATTTTTTTTGAAAAACGGGGCTAAACTAATAATCGCTTCCTTTTGCTCTTTTCGTCGTTCTAGCATAAAAATTAGCTTACTACCCATGGATAACTTATAGTTATATAACCAAGTTATGAGATAGCTTTCTTTATCCTTAACTTTTACAGGCTGTAATGGTTCTTCGGTCGTTGCATTCTCAAAAACTACACCCGTCGACTCATACGGCTTATCATTTTTATCTGCAAGAAAAACCCTCGCGATATCGCCATTTATCCCTTCGACTATTACTTTGATATTCTCGTTACTGGTATTAAAGATTTTTGTTTCTCCGCTCACATATGAAAAAATGTTTTCGGACATCGTAGCTGTTAAGAAAAGCAAGACTATTAATACATGTATTTTTTGACTCAGCCTGGCAAAGACAATTGTATATACCTTGGAAATAAATTGCGAGTATGCTAAACAGTTTCTTTTTTGGCAGAGCCGGTTTACACAAAAAATATATATTAGCAAACAAAACGTTATTGGTACCCACCTTAAAAGCCATAATTGCTTATTTTTATACCTTTCATTATCTAGATCTAAGAACTGGTCAGAAAAAAATACATTAGTAATTATGTTACCCCAGCTCAACGCCAAATTTTTTTTCTATATAGGAACTCTGCTCGGCCATAGTTCCAAACACTGAGCCTATTTTGTTATTTTTTCTGGTAAAATTAACCCCCCTTAGATTCGACGATCTCTCTTGCGAAGTACGATCTCGACGATCTGGGAATTCCAAGTTCCTGCGACATATGAATTTTGATAAAACTACTGATTAAGAACGTTATACTCTTTCCTCTTATAGCCCTTTTAAGTCCCATTCGTGATTTGTTCTTATTGCGGGATCGTATATAATAAGAAAAGGTTAACGTTAATAAAAAATCGACCGTGAGAAATAATTATGCAGTAAAGTATTACAAATCACATGCCTAATTGCATGTGTGTGGAGAAAAAACTCAAATGTCATTTTAGCTTGAAATCGCTATCACTATGATTTGTAAACTCTACATTAGATTCATTAGAATCTCAAATTATTTCTTTGTTCTAATTAACATGCCAAACCCCTTCGAGTTCATTCGCCACAAAGGTATTTTTTCAACACCCTAGAGTAAAATTTTGTGACAGTTTTCACAACTGTATTTATTGTAGTGCAACAACATAACATCAAGGTACTTGCGAAGAAATGTAATCAAGGTACGAAATTGATAATCATTTCCTATGCATCAAGTTATTTACTGATATTTTCGTGTGTTTTAGATCCCTTAAACCTTCCCACAGTGCTTCAAGACCCTGCTATCGCATCTCTTGTTCTCCGAGTCACAAAAAAGCATATCGATATGCCAGCCATCGTGATCCAGTGGAATAACGCCGGATTTAATGATGTTCCTACCTCACCCAATAATCGAAACGGAGTTATTGGACAGGATCAGAATGCTATAATAAATTTCATGGTGGCAAATGGAGCCACAAATTATCATAATACTGTCTTTATGTTTCGAGACGCTCCAACACTTTCGGCATGAGAATCGGCTCTTCCTCAATGGTATGAAAAATTTTATTTTATATGTTTAGGAATCCTTAGCTCCAACTTACCCGTTTTCCTTTCTTTCTAAAGGGTCAGGCATCAGGCCGGAGTTCCAGATGTATGTGTTATGGCGTGCAGAATAAACAAGATGACTCTTGGAGGTCAAATTGAAGTTGAGCAATTCGCATATGCGTTTAACAGATAACATGTGTATTACACGGAAGGATTGAATTGCTCGAAAATTTGTTATAATTATAAGTCAAATAATTTGCTTTAACTAATATGATCAATCAATCTTGTCGTTGAATTCAATGCTGTATTAACTTTTTTTACAATAGAAAGCTTAATATTATCAAAATGCGAATTTTTGGTTTCACTTTTCAGAATTACATAATAATAAGTAGTCAAATTTAAAGAGTATTCATTATGTCTTTACAAAGATCATTCGTGTTTATTTCAAGTTGACTACTAAATAATCTAGGAAATATTAATGCTCCCACTTGGAATCTTCCATTGATCGCCCAAATTTTAAAGAATTATGCAAAAAGTCTGCTACTAAGATAGTGCACATGTGTTATGATCTTAGAGCATTTAAAGTTTTAAGTTTAGTTAATAAGACCCAATTCTCGGAGATGCTCTGGAATAACTATATATGGGTCTTCGTAATACCAAACATACCTTAAAACGATCCAATTTTCTTCGCACAATTCTTTCTTGAGTTGATCCCGTTCTTGCTGTTTGATAAAATTATCGGGATCTCCTCTATAGAAGAATTCGATATATTTTTCATGCTGTTGCCCCTGTACTTCGATTGCAAATCCATAATTAGGATAATAAATATCAAGATGTAAACCACTTGGATGTTCTGGAGTTTTGAGAAATTCAGGTTGACGTATCTTAGATGGGGGTCCAAGATATTTTGATACAATTTCTCGACACAAATTTTCACGTTTATATTTTGAGCAATAAGGACACCATGCATTTTGATTTTTTATTCTATTGAGAGGGGCGTACCATTCATGACCTTCAGCGCAACTCCATATTAAATCAGTTTCAAGATTTTTATATTCGATTGAAAGGCATTTTCCATTTCTACTATGTGCAATTTGTTTAGCAATTTCAAGAGTATGAGGAATTGAACCAGCACAATGTAGACACCATCGCCCAGCTCTTATGTTACTAAGTGTTGCATTCCATTTATATCCCATAACACATTGCCACTGCATTAGAGCATTAGAATTTTTATATTCGGTTGAAAGACACTTTCCATTTCTATCATGTGCTATTTGTTTAGCAATTTCAAGATTAAGGGGTTTTATGCATCTGCAGCCTGGACACCATGAACCATGATTTTTTATTTTCATAAGATTGGCAATCCATTCATGTCCTTCATCACAGCGCCATAATAAAGGCGATCTATTATTAATATATTCTTCTGAGAGACATTCACCATTTTTGCTACGTGCTAATTCTTTAGCAACTGAAATATCAAGCCTGGTATCGGAGCAAGTCGAACACCATGTCTTGCCATTTTTTATACTGTGAAAGTTAGCAGTCCATTCATGTCCTTTTGCACATTTCCATCTTAATGAAGTATTACAATTAATATAATTATTAGAAAGGCATTGGCCACCTCGACTTTCAGCAATTTTGCATGCATCATATATTGAATATTTGATCTGGAATGGCATCAAGAATCGAAATATTTTTAAATAAAAAATCAGAACTTTAAATATGTGTGCTACAGAACTTGCTCAACATTATAAACTCTTATGGGGAATTCGAGAGGAAATGTGCCAAATTAACAATGTATAGACCATGTCTGCAAAGCAATTCATATATTTATTTGATTTAATCTATTTATTTGATTTATTAATTATATAACTTATTCATATATATATCTATTTAAAATAAAA